TCGCGCAAACCGCGTCTTCTTTAGACAAACCGTTTCGTCACAAAGGGGCAGGGACGACGAATCGTACCAAAGAATGACCCAAAAATAATGCTTCCAAAAATCTAAGTGCATATTTGTCTATGGTTTAGGTTTAAATTTGGCCTCATTTGGCAACGTATTAAAACGTTTCGGCCATGGACACAAAGCCGTTCGGTAACTGGAAACAAAAATGTCAATAGCTTTTCGGCGTGACTTCAAACTAAAACATCAAGCAATTGTTTAGGTCGAGAGAAGTGAGAGAACGCAAAATCTTTGTGTACAGGTTGAAACATATTCCAAGTGTTTCGTTTCCTTACCGCGACAGCCGCAAGAACACAACCATTGTAAATGACGGCGGTTATGAAGAGCAGCATCAGTTTGCTCTGCCACACTGCCGTGAGAGTTCGCATGACATGAGGCCGCGGCCGATGCGGCCGAACCAGAAAAAGTCCGTCAACAACTCGATGCCATTTAGCACGGAGTGCCGTGTCCTCGTCGGTACTCCTGTTCGTTCACAGCACTGGAAATTAAAAAAACTTGTACCGCTTTCGTAACCATCCACATTAGAGAGAAAAAACGTTAAGGCAAACGCTGACGTAAAAGCAGATTATAGTCATGGGAATGTTTATTGGCTAAGCGACAGCGAAGCCCCCCGTGAACTGGGGTCGGGAATCCATTGGTCGTGAGTCTGTCTGTCTGTTGCGTTACACTTTTCTGAGGAGACCACTGAATGGATAAGGTACAAATTTTGCATACGTACTCTATAAATATCCAAGTTAAAAATGACGGAGCGGTTTTGCGATTTCTTGCGATTGAAATAAATGGCAGACGTTTCGAGGGGTGGAAGCAGCCGAGGGCGCACATGGGGGCGGCGAAGGCCTCGACGCCCACGACGCAGTGCACGCACTCCGCCAAACGCGGGACTCGGCCAACTCCCCGCAAGTCTCCACTCTCGGCTCCCAACCCTGGACAGAAAAGACAGTGTTAGCACCAAGGGCTGCACTGCAAGAAAAAGTGTGGATAGTACAACAAAAGTACAACAAAAACTGTACAATAGAAGTACAACCGGGATTGTAGAAAGTACAACGAGAATTGTACAAACCACAACGAGCTCTGGACTGCACAGCACTCGTCATGCCAGCTCCATTGTACTATGTACAACAATTGTTGTACTTGAAAAGTACACTAATTTCCTGATAAAAAATTTGCCAGAAATTTGTGTACTTTTGCTGTGGTTATTTCCAGCAGTGTGTGCCGTTTCCATGGAAACGGCACACCAGGGTGTCCACGAGGTGTCCCTCGCGCGCGAAACAGCAAACTGGCTACACAATCAGCCCGAGAGAGACAGCACGAAGATGCAGCGAAAGAAACAATGAACGCTCCAAATTGGATCACGAGTCCCGAGAAATACAGTCCAGACTTCTGCCGGAAGACAAACGCGGGCTTATACTTCTCAACACTCTTATTCCAGGAACGTGACATCACGTTGAAACGAACGTGACAAAGTGTCACGTTCGTTTGAGCATTGTGTCACATTCGTTTGAAAGTTACCAAGCTGCTTTTTGTCCAATTCACACCCAAACGAATGTGACACAATGCTCAAACGAACGTGACATTTTGTCACGTTCGTTTCAACGTGATGTCACGTTCCTGGAATGAGAGTGAAAACGATTTGTTTACATACCTGCCGGAAATTTCCCAAGCAAAATAGAAATTTGGGTGGTTTGGAACTTTTTCAATGGTTGACGGCAATTTGTTTTCCCACAATTGATTCGGCTATTTCCACACATTTTTAGGGGTTCCGACGAAGGAGGACCCCTATTGCCCGGGACGGCTCAGATTCTTTTCCTTCCGCCGACGCAAATCTAAAAATGGTTCCCGCCAAATTACTCCTTGTCATAAAAAAATGAAAATTGCTGAAAATTTTGAAAATTTATCGTAAGAATTTAACGTAAACGACAAAAACATAAATTTGCAACAATGAAGCACCCTTATCCCCTCACATTTTCCAGAAACGTTTCAAAGACAGTGCTACTCCCCAAAACTAAGCATCCTGCCTCGTCAAAGTGACAAAAAATCATGTCTGTTCTGACAAAATAGTTAAAACATGAAAAAAAAGTCACCATGGCAACGTCACGGTGTCATCGTACCAACTGTCAAAATTTAAAGTCGCCGATAAAAAGAAATCAAAACGCCATGAAATTCGAAAATGCCAATGCTAACGCATTGCACGGTGTCCCGACATTGGAACGTCTTTGAAGTCTGTCAGTAAAAAGTTCGTAGCAAAAAAGACGCCATAAATTAACTGTCGGGGGTTGGCAACAATTTTCTCGGCGTCTGCGCCCTTTCGAAAATCGCGAGGCTGAAAAAACGAGTAGTCGCGCATTGAAACTGCCCCTCCATTGTTGCTGAGGTTGAATTGTTTGGCTTGCTTTTAAAGGTTGCGGTTCTCTTGTGATGTTTTCCTCAATTCTGTAACCAGCACGACGTTGGTTTGACGAACTTTATAAACTCGGGAGAGGTGGTTTCGAAACGCGGATGACTTTCGTTTGACGAACATGAGCCCTGTAAATCACGAGATCGCGAGATGGACTGAGATGGTCATTGTGTTAACTGAATCAGGTTTGGGGATGTAAAAATGCCGGTAGGATTCAAAGTTACGTAAATAACGGTAAAATTAACGTAATTAACGTTTAGACGACAGACTTCAAATTCATTTCCACAACCGGAACACCGTGCAATGCGTTAGCATTGGAATTTTTAACAGTGGTGTCGAGACCGTCAAACAAGTGCATTTGGCATTATTGCACTCTAACTGTTTATCTCTCAGTATCCATAATTGTTGCCTATTTAGGTACGGAACATTATGGGACAATACGATATTCAGGCAAAGTATTTATAAAATGGGACCTAATTTGCAAATTGGTACATACCTTACATAGGCACAAATATGGCATTAGTTACAGACAAAAAATGCAAAGGCATTGAGTGCGTGACACTATAGCGGCATGGTAATGGCATCTCAGTACTTAAGTTCCCAGACAGCGTGGGGACTGACATATTTTTGGCGTGTGTTTCACTCTAAGCGATCCGGGTCAAGGAAAAGAAACAACTGTCAGGGATATCGTTCTTTGACGTTACCCGACTCGGCTTCACTGAAACAACTGTCAGTTGGAAACACACAAGTAGGGTTCCACAAGATTCAGCACAGCAGGTAACTCGTTACCACACACGTCGTCGGCCAATGAAGAACACCGTTGAAGGAATTTTAATACATTTTTATCACGTTTATGGTGAAGCTCTAATCATTTATTACAATGCTGAAACTGTCATGCATCATAGCTGTTAAACTCTTCTTTGCAGTGTAATGTACGATTGAAATTAGCCTGCGCACCCAACTCCCTACTCGAGGTACTGCGAGGGCGAAGGTCTAACTCAACAGGAACCGCTGGGACTAGTCTCCGGTGACGCCAGCAACCGGACAAACGGAGAGAGCGTCCGAGCGCACAGTGGGACGAAACGGTGAAAAATGGGAAAATAATCAGACGTCGTTCTAAAGTACTCCAATGGAACCCAAAACACCATACCACACCAGAAGAAGGGCCTAAACTGGCCTAAACCCATTTGGGCGCATACCAGGGTTCAAACACCCGAGATTTATGCGATTTTTGGCACTTTTTGTCACATTTTGTGAAATTGCGCCTTGTCCTGAATGAATAGGCCGTCCGTACTAGTATTAAATTTTCATTTTGAGTGTCTGCTTACATTTCATGAAATAAAAAGTTGCGCCTTTTCAGAACAAAGCATTTGAATGAGTCAAAAAAGTCGAAAAATAGCGATTTTTAGCACTTTTTGGCACATAGAGTGAAATTGAGCTTTGTCCTGAATGAATAGGCCATCCGTACTAGCACTTAATTTTTATTTTGGGAGTCTGTTACCATTTCGTGAAAGAAAAAGTTGCGCCTTTTCAGATCAAAGCATTAGGATGCGTCAAAATGGGTCAAAAAAGTCGAAAAATCGCGATTTTTGGCACTTTTTGACACATTTAGTGAAATTGAGCTTTGTCCTGAATCAAAAAGCCGTCCATACTAGCATTAAATTTTCATTTTGGGTGTCTGTTAGCACTTCGTGAAATAAAAAGTTGCGCCTTTTCAGATCAAAGCATTTAAATGGGTCAAAAAAGTCGAAAAATCGCGATTTTTAGCATTTTTGGCACATTTAGTGAAATTGAGCTTTGTCCTGAATGAATCGGCCGTCCGTACTAGCATGAAATTTTCATATTGGGTGTCTGTTACCATTTCGTGAAATAAAAAGTTGCGCCTTTTCAGAACAAAGCATTTAGATGGGTCACAAAAGTCGAAAAATCGCGGTTTATAGCAGTTCAGCGACTTTTGTGACGCATTTAAATGCTTTGTTCTGAAAAGGCGCAACTTTTTATTTCACGAAATGTTAGAAGACACCTAATATGACAATTTTATGCTAGTACGGACGGCCGAGTCATTCAGGACAAAACTCAATTTCACTAAATGTGCCAAAAAATGCTAAAAACCGCGATTTTTCGACTTTTGAGACACATTTAAATGCTTTGTTCTGAAAAGGCGCAACTTTTTATTTCATGAAATGTAAGCAGACACTCAAAATGAAAATTTAAGACTAGTACGGACGGCCTATTCATTCAGGACAAGGCGCAATTTCACAAAATGTGACAAAAAGTGCCAAAAATCGCATAAATCTCGGGTTTTTGAACCCTGGTATGCGCCCAAATGGGTTTAGGCCAGTTTAGGCCCTTCTTCTGGTGTGGTATGGTGTTTTGGGTCCCATTGGAGCACTTTATGACGACGTCTGATTTTTTTCCCATTTTTCACCGTTTTGTCCCACTGTGGAGCGGGGAGCAATCGAGGCGAGAGCAATAGCATAGCACCCCTGCACTCCCTCCGTTTGCGGCAGGGGGAAAAAAAATTCACGGTTGGTGAAAACAGCTTCTTTCCTTTTTACAGTCAATTCGATGTTGGGACAATCCAGTTAACTTCGTTCATTCAACATATCATAAGGTGTTTAAAACAACATGGTAAGGAAGCAGTAATTGAAGCAGTCCTATTATTGTTTCGAATATACCTATTGGATACACTGAGCTGTCACTTTTCACTTCCTAAAACTACAAACACAACAAGGCTGACTGGCAAGGTGTCCAAGCAGGAAAACAAATGAAGCAGTTGCAAGAAACAAGGAATGAAACATAAATAAACTTCAATGCAACAAGGCGACAAATAACAAAACCTTGATTTAAAAAAACCTATGCGGCACTGTTACTCTCTGAGGAGAGATACTCCTCTTACAAAGATACGCACACAAAAATCGAACAAGATCAGCACTGACGATAACGAGAGCATACTATAGCGACAATGAAGCAAAAATCAATAAAGGTGACGAATTTTACAAACAGCAGTTTGTCCGCGTGTCCTCTCGTGTGCATTCCCACGAAAACGTATTCATCCTACAGCTTCTTTGCCGCGTGAATCTTCTTGTGTCGCGCAAAAGTAGCTGGATAAGAAAATGCCCTCCCGCACGAGTCACACGTATAGGGCTTCTCTCCAGTGTGGACTCTCTTGTGCACCCGTAGGGCAGATGGATAAGAAAAGGCCTTGCCGCACGCGTCACACTTGAAAGGCTTCTCCCCAGTGTGGATCCTCTTGTGTGTCACTAAATTACTTGACACAGCAAACTTCTTTCCGCACTCCCCACACTTGTAAGGCTTCTCCCCGGTGTGGATCCTCTTGTGATTCACTAAATGAAATGACAGAGCAAATGATTTTCCGCACACGTCACACTTGAAAGGCTTCTCCCCGGTGTGGATCCTCGAGTGCCTCACAAGAACCCAATTCCTGGAGAACTCCTTGCCATACACCCCGCACGAGTGAGGTCCGCCCTCAGTGTGACTCGCAAGGTGGTCCCGCAATCCGCTCTCAGTCCGGAAACGCTGGCCGCACTCCCCACAGTTGAATCCGCGGCGCACCTTCCTGCCCGTCTCCTTGCTCGAGGCCTGCTCGTCCTGGACCGCGTCGCCAGCCGGCACTGCGAGGGAGAAGGCCTCGCCGACGAGCAGCTGCTGGGCCTGCTCCGCGCCGACGCCTGCAACCCACGGCCACGGTAAGGGTGGATCGGCTGCGCAGCGGCGACCCAAGAGAGTTGAGTTAGTCCGAGGGACAACGCTATTGTAAACACAAGAGTTGAAAATTTGAGAGTAGGCCCCTAAGATAGTGACTTAATCATCTGCAAAGTTTCAAACCAGGTCACCGGGCAAAATCAGTGTTAATACGCGATTAAAAGTAGCCGAGAATAGCATTGCCGCTTATGGGAGTAGGGTTATGTTGCCCATCCGAACCCGGTATATTTCGTTTTTAAAATGCTTGAAGTACAGTCAAACCGATAAAAAGCATACCTTTGTTAGGATTTTCAGTCACTTTACGAAAGAGAGAAAATAGAGCGTTACCGGACGTGGCGTGGACGTGGCGATGGTAAAGCAGTGGCTTTCCCCAAACGTAACTGTCAACTAAGTACACACTGACAAATGCATGCTTGCAAGTAGACACTTACAAACGCATGCTTGACGCCGTATAACTCCATGCGTCAAGCATGCGTTTGTAAGTGTGTACTTGCAAGCATGCATTTGTAATTGTGTAAATAGCCAGGCATGCGTTTGTAAGTGTGTACTTAGACAGTTAGGTTTGCAGTGTATTTAAAGGGGCGAGGTAGTGCATTTTGCCTACCTTCCAGGCAGCCCATCAAGTACCCGAGAGAAGGGAAATGACCCCTGTTACTCCTCTTCTGCAGCCGCGCCCGAACAGTGGACGACCCAGGGCCATTCCGATACCATCCTCTGACCAGAAAACGAAGAGTCCTGGGTCCTCGCGGTCGAGGGCTACCTGCAATGCTATCCAAGGCGGCAGATGGCATAAACCACGAGAACTCAGGGCTCTTCGTTTTCTGGTTAGGGTATTCATAAATCATTCCCCTTCCGAAAGACTCACCTGCAGCGAGCTTCGAGTCCGGCATGCTTCCCTCCTCGTCAGGCTGGTCGACCACTCCGTCCAGCGGCGGGCACGGACCGCCATGGCCTGAGCCTGGAAGAGAACCACCGTCATTGGCAGAACCAGCCGATGGGCAAAGGGGACGGAGGGGACAGACAGACAAAACTTTTCAACCCCACTGGAGTAACGGGCTTCGCTATCGCTCAACCAACAATTTGAGCAAATTTCGTCCCGATCTGAGACCATGCCGACTCAGTTGGCGTGGAATCGTCCCTTGTGCTTATGGCAGTTGACAAGGTGCGCGGAGCCAACCACCTTTCCTATGCCTGACATGCTTCATGTCCCAATGCCAAGCATGCGTCTCCAAGAGTGTGCTCCATGAGTACACACTTGGAGGTGCAAGCTTAGGCAAGTACACGCCCCGAGGCCCAAGCTTGCAAGCACGCGCTTCGAGGAGTGTGCTGGGTACACCCAAGTGCTCCCACAGGGGAACGCATCGAAGCGACCGGCAAGGGTTGATCCAGCGAAACACTTAGAAACGAAAAGGAACCTCACACTATACCCGAAGTTATGGCAACCTACGAAGTTGCGTGAGCGGCACACTGTGTAAAGCGTTGGACAAGACTGACTCTGACTCACCTGCAGCGACCTTCGGGTCAGGGATGCTTTCCTCCTCGTCAGGCACGCACGGCGACGGCTGCAGTCCGGAACCCAAGTCGCAGTCCGCACTTTCCGTCGGCAAGTCGATGCTCTCGGTTTTGAAGTCTGGACAGAAAACAACGAGTCAGCACCAAAGATGACAACCAGCGTCCACACAGTTAAAACTACGAAAAATCGCTTCGTAATGCGAAGAAACCGAAGGCACGGTATAATGTACGAAGAAGTATGCTTCGTATTATCAAGCAAAATCCTTCGTAAAACGAAGCTTTTTTTTCATAACACGAAGTAACAACTACAAAGCCTTCGTTTTAGTTACGAGGCAAAAGCTTCGAAGGCTTTGAAGAGTGCAATGGACGTGTCCCAAGCACCCCGGCATGCAAAAGCGCCCCAGGCATGCAGCACTACACTACAAGAAAGGCGGTACTGGGTGCAGGAAGATAAAGACGGTTTTTAAGAACTGCGAAAACGACCGTTCCCGGACTATCCGCCGCAATAATAATATGGATGAGCAGTTCTCAAAGTCTCTATCAAAACCGGACAGACGCAGGTACAAACGAGATGACGGAATAAAATGCGGCCCTCGTCGCCACCCGCGGACGTTTGAACATCACGAAATTTCTAGATCCGAAGCTTCCACGTTGCCTTTACGGACGAGACAGGGAGCTCTCCGCATTCAAAGCGAGACACGCTTTGCGAAACGCGCACGCATTGCATTCATGTGGCTCCGGATTGATGCAATCTCGGGTGTCTTCGGAGTATCGCGCAAGGACCCCTCCCCTTCACACACTCCGCACTCAAACGCTGCCTGTCCGACCCCCTGCTCGGGGCCTGCACTGCGATGGAGAGGGTCGCACTGAGCGGGAACCGCTGGTTCTGGTCCGCGGCAACACCTGCAACCGAACAACCGGAGTTAGTGTCTGCACTCCCACTGTTAGTGGCAGGGGAGAAGGTTGATGCAGTCAAGGCGAGGAGGCCATGAAACGGCGTGGCACTTTAAGAGAAAGCTCCCCTCAGGAACTCTCGTTGCACTCCGAACGCGTCACTGTCAACGAATGAGGCGTACCCTTTGTTAGAATGCGCATTTCGACACGTTCGTCTGAAAACTCCATCTCACTCGTTAGAATGATGACCAACGTTGAAGCGAATGAGACAAAATAATTAAATGGTCGTGTCACGTTCAAACAAAAGTGACTTGGTAGGGTCAGGGCGGGGAAGAACTGGACGTTTTGCACACTCTCAGAGCCATATTGACTTTTTGTTCATAGCAGCATCAACATTTCCCAAGTAGCATATGAATTTTTTTACGCAACAATAATACTTAGAAATTTGTTCATATGCCACGAATAAAAAGTCCATGGTATATGTACAATTCCATAGACAATATTTTTAGTACATTACTAACAAATTTGTTGATAAAATTGTTCATAAATTTGTTGATAAATTTGTTGATAAAAATTTACCAGAATAATCATTGACAAAACTTTTGTCGTTACTTAACGACACTTTTAATGCTAATTTTTTCAGCGACAAGATTTATTTTGGAACGGACCTCTTGGACCACTTTTTAGTCAGCGACAAGTATTGCAAGTCCATAAAAATATATATGTAATGTCTGCGACAAATATTGATCATGTACATAGAATTTTATTTCTATGTACTGACTTTATTCATTAGTTACTACTGACTCCGTTTCTTTCTTACTACTGACAAAATCTCTTAGTAGGCACTAACAAATTAGTCCCAGAAGGGCTCCATACTTCTTTTAAATAACTAGTGACAGATTTGTTAGTAAGGCTAACATACAAAATGTCAATACTTTACACACAGATTTCAGTAAGATACCAAAAAAATTGTTCATAAGTTACATAGAAATAATTTTAAAGTAAAAATACAGACTAAAATGTCAGTATGGCTCTGAGAGTGCAATCTTTCTCGATTTTGACTCTAATTGACTATCTTTAGCCAATGTATCCGTTGGGTCTGTTGATCGAGCCTCAAAGAAAGACATTTCAACCCTCAGCGAGTGCGTTTGCGGCTTCATTCAGTAATAAATGAGAAAAAACAGTGTGCGATTCTTCCCCGTCGAAACGGGGAAAAATCGAACACCTAAGGGGAAAAATCGGACATAGGCTTTAATTTAACAAAAACCTATGAAAGTAGGTCAGAAATCTCTTGGGAACGATATTTGGGGGTAACACTTGCGATACTCACTGAAGCAGGCGCACGAGTATTCCTTGGTAGACAGAAATCATCGTAGCATTGTTAGGGGGTCCGTGGCGGCACGTTTTTGAGGTTAAATGACCAAAATGTATGAAATCGTCAACAGCCGTGTTTGTTTTCCCACTAAATGTTGGGAAATGCTAATATACACTTCTTACGACCACTTTGGTGCGATGTTAGGGCAATTCGTCGATTATTATAGAAAAAAGGGGTGTCCGATTTTTCCCCGCACCAGTGTGCGGTTTTTCCCCGTTTCGTATTTAACCCTTCATATGTAATCCAGATGGAAATCTGCTAAAACATTTTAACGTATCTTGGGCTCCACACTTCCAACTTTCGTTTACAATAAGAATATTCGTCACAGTAGGCTCGGAAAGTCGTTACAAAGAGATATTGCGGGCACCAACTTTGAAAGTTTTTAAGGTGTTTTATACGAGACCTCGTTTAAAGGTAACTTTGAATACTTTCCGGTTCAAGTAGGCTAAATTCCTCTTAAACGCAATCTAACAGATCATCAATAAGCAATACTGAATACTTAGCACGTCCCAAAACAGGCAAATTTGTGGCGAAAGTGCGGTGTGCGTTTCTTCCCCAACTTGCAGGTGTCCGGTTTTTCCCCGCCCTGACCCTATACCATCAAACGTGGAAAAAAATCACACATGGCATCACATCGGTTACAAACAGGGAGTGGGCTGTCGTCACTGCGCAGCGCAGGCACACCCAAAAGGAAAAAAAACTTCGAACGATACTGCTACCGATAAAACAAAAAACTTACCGCTTCGAAATACATTGCAATTACAATGTACGTCAACAAAGTTTCTGTAGCAACATGCGCCCGGTCGCTGCAGGAACGAAGCAAGGGATGGGGGTCAGTCAACTTTAATGGTGCCAAACAGTTGGATTTTATTTCGTACAATCATTTCGATAGTGGAAAGGTCTTCTATAACTCGCCAAATAACAGCTTGTTTTCTACAATCAATTCCATCTCAAGAAGACGTTCGTTTTTCTGGTTGAAAGAAAAATTCAATATGGCGATACAAACAACGTGTTACAAAGAAAGGGGGGAATTGCTATCGGTCTTCCCGCTGTTTCGTATACACTACACTGTCACTTTACACTTCTCAGAACAACAACACTAACGGGCAAACATGTCGAGAAAGAGAAACAAGTGGCCCACTTCCATTAGATAAGAAATAAAACAAAAATAATCTTCCTTGTGACAGCTTAGCACGGCAAAACAATAAACTCGAATTCATAAAGAATGCAATCTGGTGCTAACGTTACACGGGAACTTTACATTGAAAGGCGGGGACATAATCAAAAGAAAAACATGGTCGTCATAGACGAGAACAAAAGCGCAACTCAGAGAAACTGAAGCAAAATTCAAAGCTTGATAGTAAGGAGGGCCCATTTTCAACACACCTGTGTGCGTCCTCTCGTCGTGGGTCCCCTCGTGTGATTTCGCGTTTTATGCCCAAAAATCGTCTTCCAACAGACACCAACACCAACATTCCTACGGCTTCTTCGTGGCATGAATCCTCTTGTGTCGCGCACAAACGGATGAATCAGAAAATGCCTTCCCGCAGACGTCACACTTGTAAGGCTTTTCCCCAGTGTGGAGCCTCTTGTGTCTCACTAAATCAGATGAATCAGAAAATGCCTTCCCGCAGAGGTCACACTTGTAAGGCATCTCCCCGGTGTGGATCCTCCTGTGTTTCACTAAATCAAAGGACTGAGCAAATGCCTTTCCGCACACGTCACACGTATAGGGCTTCTCTCCAGTGTGGACTCTCTTGTGCACCAGTAGGGCAGATGAAACAGAAAAGGCCTTGCCGCACGCGTCACACTTGAAAGGCTTCTCGCCAGTGTGGGTCCTCTTGTGTGTCACTAAATGACTTGACTCAGCAAACGTCTTTCCGCACACGTCACACTTGTAAGGCTTCTCCCCGCTGTGGATCCTCGAGTGCCTTACAAGAGAGCTCTTCCAGGGGAACTCCTTGCCACACACCCCGCACGCGTGAGGTCCGCCCTCAGTGTGACTTGCAAGGTGGTCCCGCAATCCGCTCTCAGTCCGGAAACGCTGGCCGCACTCCCCACAGTTGAATCCGCGGCGCGCCTTCCTGCCCGTCTCCTTGCTCGAGGCCTGCTCGTCCTGGGCCGCGTCGCCAGCCGGCACTGCGAGGGAGAAGGCCTCGCCGACGAGCAGCTGCTGGGCCTGCTCCGCGCCGACGCCTGCAACCCACGGCCACGGTAAGGGTGGATCGGTTGCGCAACGTGCGGCGACCCAAGAGAGTAAGGTGCCTACCTTCCATGCCAAACCAACGAACTCTTGGAAATTCATCTCTTCGATTTGGATGAAACTTTTTATGGGGGTAGGGGTCATTATAAAAAGAACCAAAGTCAAAGGGTTTTGCGATATCTTTCCCCGTTTGGCTGTAATAACATAGCGAAGTTTTCACTTTGGTCAGAATCATGATATTTTCTTTATTTTTCTCCGTACTTACTGAAAGTTTTCAGATTTGTTTCGAGAATGGTTCTTTACGTAAAAAGAGCTGGGGAACACGATGGAAATAGTTTCGAGACGATGGGTGAAGTTTTGATGCCGGTTTCTCCATTAAACGTAATTTTTTTTCCGAAAAATTGATGTTTTAAAAATAGCTCATCTTTGATTTTGATGTGACTTTCCTCACATGATCCTCTCACGTATTGAAAGAAAATCCTAAAAGGATTTGGTCGGCCCACCGTAAGTTTTTTATTAGCACAAGCAAAGATGTATCATGTTGGCCGTTTCTCTTGAATTCTGGAACGAACTTTCTGAGTTTGCGTCCAAGCTTATGTCCCGTGAGGAAATAAATTTTGTCTTGTCGAGACGAATCCATTGTTATATAAAAACGTTATTTTTGTCAATTTCGAAAATTTAGCCTAGTTTCTCTCATACTGAAAATGACCCCTACCCCTCAAAAAGTTTTATCCAAATCGAAGAGATGAATTTCCAAGAGTACTTAGACAGTTAGGTTTGCAGTGTATTTACAGGGGCGAGGGAGTGCATTTTGCCTACCTTCCAGGCAGCCCATCAAGTACCCGAGAGAAGGGAAATGAACTCCCCTTTTGCAGCCGCGCCCGTACAGTGGACGACCCAGGGCCATTCCGATACTATACTCTGACCAGAAAACGAAGAGCCCTGGGTCCTCGCGGTCGAGGGCTACCTGCAATGCTATCCAAGGCGGCAGATGCCATAAACCGCGAGAACTCAGGGCTCTTCGTTTTCTGGTTAGAGTATTCTTGCCGTGTTCGAAAACAAATCATTCCCCTTCCGAAAGACTCACCTGCAGCGAGCTTCGAGTCCGGCATGCTTCCCTCCTCGTCAGGCTGGTCGAACACTCCGTCCAGCGGCGGGCACGGACCGCCATGGCCTGGGCCTGGAAGAGAACCACCGTCATTGGCAGAACCAGCCGAGGGCGCAGAGGGCACTCTCATACCAGGAACGTGACATCACGTTGAAACGAACGTGACAAAGTGTCACGTTGAAACGAACGTGACTAAGTGTCACGTTCGTTTGAGCATTGTGTCACATTCGTTTGAATGTTACCAAGATGGTTTTAGGCCAATTCACACCCAAACGAATGTGACACAATGCTCAAACGTGATGTCACGTTCCTGGAATGAGAGTGGGGACGACAGACAAAGAGACAAAACTTTTCAACCCCACTGGAGTAACGGGCTTCGCTATCGCTCAACCAATAATTTGAGTAAGTTTCGTCCCGATCTGAGACCATGCCGAATCAGTTGGCGTGGAATCGTCCCTTGTGCTTGTGACAGTTGACAAGATGCGCGGAGCCAACCACCTTTCCTATGCCTGACATGCTTTATGTCCCTTTGCCACGAATGCGTCTCCAAGAGTGTGCTCCATGAGTACACACTCGAGGTGCGAGCTTAGGCAAGTACACGCCCCGAGGCCCATGCTTGCAAGCACGCGCTTCGAGGAGTGTACTGGGTGCACGGGTGATTCCGTGCGTAGAGGGTCATTTTGAATGTTCTTTTTTAAAGTTCAACTTTAGGGGCTAAATTTGGTGTAGACGGCATACATAGTACCCCACAGTACCCCTCTGAGCGTGGCAGCGCTTCAAGTTGACTTTCAATTTCACCCCCTATGAAATACGGCGGAATTTACAGAAATTATGACGGAATTTACAGATTACGGAATTTACAAAGCGAAGTGTTTAGTCTCCTGACCCGCTGGGTTACAAGATAGGTAAACACTGATGACGGTGTCATTTTGAGCATCCAAAATAGCGTTTTTCAGCGAAGGTTGTGGGAACTTTCTCCCTCAGATGGAGGAGCTACGGCCCGAAACGGAATTTACATCTATTTTTACACCCTTACCGTTTTGAACAATTCTGACGGCCTGGAAGCGTCGTTTGACCGCCCCAGGTCCCGCGGGCACGGGCTTCTGGAAGCGTTTTTTATGTTCTTTCGATCCCAAATGGTCGCGAGGTTCTAAAACGAAAAGGAACCCCAGTAGACCGTCAGTTGTGAAAGCAGCATAGCTCACATGGTCACTCGGTGGACATTTTCCCATAGGCTGTTTCGGGTTCAACAAGTAATGATACGAAGGTCACCTTCCGTAATTTTGCGAAGAATAAGTCAGGGAAGAGAGTGAAATAGCCAGTTTTCTTTTGATGTGGCTGAGTCATATACTACAGCATGGCAATGTTGTCTTATAGGTGTTGGTGACCATGACGGAACTTACAAAACGACACTTTGGCAGCTTATGAAACCTAGAAAAACAAAAGTTAGATTGACTTATCCACATGAGGACATGGTCTTCGTTTAGTAAAACAAATTTGAATTGCCCAAGCTACCAAATCAACATCAGTTCAGGCGCAAGGCCCCGGTGACCTGAAATGACCCCCTACGCACGAAATCACCCGCACACATGTTCTCCCACAGGCGAACGCATCGAAGCGACCGGCAAGGGTTCATCCTGCGTAAAACTTAGAAACGAACAGGAACCTCACACACTACCCGAAGTCATGGCAACCTACGAAGTTGCGTGAGCGGCACACTGTGAGAAGCGTTGGACAAGACTGACTCACTTGCAGCGACCTTCGGGTCAGGGATGGTGTCATCCTCGTCAGGCACGCACGGCGACGGCTGCAGTCCGGAACCCAAGTCGCAGTCCGCACTCTCCGTCGGCAAGTCGATACTCTCTGTTTTGAAGTCTGGACAGAAAACAACGAGTCAGCACCCAAGATGACAACCAGCGTCCATGCAGAAAAAACTACGAAAAATCACTTCGTAATGCGAAGAAACCGAAGGCATGGTAAAATCTACGAAGAAGTATGCTTTGTATTATGAAGCAAAATCCTTCAAAACAAAGCTTTTTTCATAACACTTAGCAATAACTACAAAGCTTTCGTTTTCTTTGTAGTTACGAGGCAAATGCTTCGAAGGCTTTTAAGAGCGAGGGGTGAATGTCTCAGCGTTCTGGTGTACACATGAGTACATGAGTACGGGTGAGTACACCTTATTTTGCTCACAAATTTCGCATTTGTAAACGTTTAAAGGCTTTATTTAGCGTTTTAAACGACACTCAACGCGAAATCAACCGAAAAAGTATTGAATTTCACCCTTATTAAACTTGTGAGTACACTGAGTACGGGCAAATTTGTACACATGAGTACACTAGTGATTCACCCCTCGTTTAAGATTGCAAAGGGACGTGTCCTAAGCACTCCGGCATGCAAAAGCGCCCTAGGCATGCAGCACTACTCTACAAGAAGGGCGGTACTGGGAGCAGGAAGATAAAGACGATTCTTAGGAACTGCGA